TATTTTTAGTTCAAAGTTGATTTGCATAAATGCATTATTTTTCCTCTTAGGGATTAATTTATCCAATGCTTTCTAGAAACTACTGAACAGTGATAGTCTTGCAAAAGAATTCAATTAAATATTTCATTAAATTTTATTATCTTCTATTGTCTTAAACATAATCAGTCCTGTGGTTTGGGGCCCAGTGTGTGGCCCTGCGTGATTCATTATGGAAAGCTCTCCAGGGTATTTCAAAGTTGGTTTAACTCAGGGCCAACTGAGGGATTATTGAATAACTCACATTTTCCCAGAGAAGTTGACTTGAAATATCCAGTGCAACCTGCCAAACTCTGCCTTTGCTTATAAATCCACTTTCATGTAGGATAGGCCCTTCCTGGACCCTTGAATCTGGCCTTCTCTGATGACACATCCTAAACCCAGCATAATCTCCCTGCAACCCTCCCATGATCTGAGTACACAGCTTACTAGGAAATGCCCACCGTTTTTGCTGTTCCCTGAATGAGACATTTTTTTTAGATTCTGACATCACAATCACTCTTAATTAACTACCTCACTCCTAACATAATTTGAACTATCTGGGGTTTATTTTTCAGGTATGGATTTTGTTTTCTTGATGTTTTCTTAAAGAGTTATTCAGAGTCGATCACAGCCAGTTTAAGATCCTAAATAGATGTACGTGGAACATCACTGTGTATTTTTTGTGTGAAAAAAACAAAACAAAAAACACCACATCTTTAAGCACTAAGGAACCTCAAAATGCTCTCAATACTTCTTTGAACTTCACAACTGCAGGATTTACTGGCCACTACTTATCTGTGATAGTGGGGAGAACCTCCATGTGGAGTGAAGCCAAGCCACATTCAAGGTAGCGCAACAGATAAAATATCAATTTCTCTATCTGAGCCTGTTTCGGTTAAGATGGAAATCTGGTTTGTTCACATTACACAGGCCCATTTTTCATAAGTAAGAGAGGAAGCGGCTGGCTTGGGAGCCCTCGGCACTCCCCGTGCGCCCCCCCTCACGAGACCCGGCGTAGTGGCCTCAGAAACTTCTCAGGTTTGGTGAAAGAAGCAAAAACATATTTTTAAAACACAATGTTGAACACTTGGAATTATATTTCTAATAAAAATGAGTCAAACTATTTAATATTGATAAACAGCCTCAAAACTAAAAATGAACTGAACTTATGTCTAATGTCATCATTTGGGAAATTTTTGATTGTGTTCCCTGCCTTATTTATTTACTATTTTAAAAAGTGTTTTTCCCTCGCACTATAAAAGTGAAACATGTTCATAGTAATTGTATTTGGAAAACTTTGGAAAAAGATTATTTTTCTTATTTTTTCACTTTGAAAAGGGCGCTTTCTTTTTTCTCACCATAAAGTAAACATGTTCATTGTAATGGTAATATGAACATTTGGAAGTGCTGCCCTGACAGGTGTGGCTCAGTGGGTTGGGCATTTTGTGCAAACCGCAAAGGCTGCTGGTTGACATCCTGGTCAGGGCATGTGTCTGAGCTGAGGGTTCGGCCCATTTGGGGCGTGTAAGGAAGACAACCAGTCAATGTTTCTCTCTAACACTGATGTTTCTCTCCCTCTCTTTGTCCCTCCCTTCCCCCCTCTCTCAAATAATTAAATAAACTTAAAAAAATTGAAAGTGCCAAAAATAAAATCAATCTAAGATCCCATCAGCATTTAGGGCCATTAGTTGAGATTATACTGAATATAGTTTTGTCTGTTTTTTTTTGCATTGAATATAATATAAGCATTTCTCTTGTCACTTAATATTTAATAAAACATAAGTTTCAATGCCTGTGTAATATGTCATCACATATATGTATTATTGTTTATTTAATTATTCCTCTACAGTGGACCATTCAGATCAATTCCAGTTCTTTTTGCTACTATAAATAATACTACAACAATATATATTTGTATAGTATTTGTATGTGCGTCTGGTTGTTTTCTTACAGTAAGACCTTAATTAACTTTAAGAGGAAGTCCTGGAAAATCTGTCATTAATTCAGGCACCTTTCACTCCATTGATATAGTCCTTTAAGTTCTCTGAAAATACTTAAGAAACTTGGTCATCTGTGATGAAAAGGATCCTTCCTTCTGATTCTTGAGCCCCCATTTTATGTGACCAGCAGATTAAAAACACCCTTCTTCCCCAGGTTTCCCCCTCTTGGTTGTCTCCCTCCAAGAGCTTGAGAGCAGGACCTGGGAGGCGGTCGCTATCCATACTAAGAAGGAAAGGAATGAAGCAGATGTCCAAATTTTGATAGAACAGATGTTCTCTTGACCATATTTCCTGAAGACATAGTGGGAGTCAAAGGCAAACTGGTAACATTTTCATGTATTATGTTTTAAAGAAAAATATCCAAGCCTCACATTTCTGGTATTCTTAACCCACCGTCAAGAACACTGGATTACTTAAAGTGAATTGGAAATCCATACACTGGCTACCGAACTGCAGAGACAGGTCTACCAGGTAGGGAAAGCCCATTAGGGATAGGTAACTGAGGAAGTGTCTCAGATGAGATATCTGAGACTTTTTTCTAGATGTCTATTTGATGCCACATCAGGCGTGGAGTCTTATTCTTACAAACCGTTAGTTACGATGCAGACAGTATTGGGGTAGGAATCAGCAGGCTGGCCCTGGAGCTGGACTGTGGGGGCCTATAGTCCGACTGTTCCATTGATGAGCTGGGTGACCTTTGCTAAGTTAACACTTCGGATCTCAGCTTTGCTGTCTATAAAATGAGGATATTGATTGTTCTTCCTTTACAAGGTCATTTCAAAAATCAATGAGGTAAGGCATGAAAAACCCTTTGAATGAGTGTCTGCTGTGTACTAAGGAACTTAAGCTATGATTGTCCTCTGCTGAGCCAGCCCATGAGACAGAGGAGAAGCTTTCCTGATGCTCTTGATGTTTGTACCCACATGTCATCCTGGTGTCTGCAAATGAATGTGAACTTGAGGTCTACTGGGCATCTATGATGTGTGGTGCTCTCAGATACACATTAGATGTTAGTATTCCTACACACTGGAAAGAAGACCTTATCAAAAAATATCTTATTTAAATTTTCCTTTTTGCCAACTCTAAGTGACCCTTTATATCCCAAAAGGTATTTGCATTTTTTCATTTAATTTTAAGGCAGTCCTGGATGACTGTCTTCATTATTTCTATCTTAAATAATGCAAACTGGAGCTTAAGAGGTAAAATGATAACAAACTGATCAGCCAGAATTTGTGCCAACATGTGTTTGAGAACAAAGCCTACATATACTGCTTTCAAATTTATAAGTTAAACCATGAGAGGACATACATAATATTTTTTTGTAGGCATGAGGGTTTGATACTCAAATGCTCATTCACATGTATAATATTATTTTTTTATGTCTTTTCTGTAGAACAACTTATGGGATCATAGAAATATAAGGGGATAATAGAAATATTAAGTTACCATAGATAAAGTATATAACAAGAAATAAATATAAGGTGTATAACCTTGTGGAGTTTAAATAACTATAAATATTACTTCATGGCTACTTAGTAACCATAGTTGTTTGATATAATATAATATAATATTAAAATATCAAAAAATGTAGGGAAAACTACCTTAAATTTAGAAGAAAATTAAGGAAAAGTTCAGACAACCCTGTGAGAGGCAGGACAGGAAGAAGCTGGGAAAGTTCCTGGGCAAGTGGAGTGGGGAAACTGAGACAAGAGAATTAACCAGGGCCGAACAGTGGGAACTACTTACAGCCAGCTGGTGAATCACAAGAGCTTATCTCTCCTAACCAAGGGCTGGAGGGCAAACGGTTTATACCTCTCCTCCCTAACCAAAGAGTACACAGCTTAAATCACCCGGTCTGGAAAACAGATAATTAGAAACCCAATTAATGTCATTCATTTGTGCCAAACAAACCCAAGAAAAGAGAAAGTCAGGGGAACAAAAACCAAAAACATCATTAAAAGCCAGACAGACCCAAGATAAAAGTAAAACAGTATAGCAGACCAAAGATTAATCCCAAACCCTCCCCTAAGGTTCTCACCTGCAGAAGAAAGATAAAAAGCCTTCAGAACAAAGACACAGCACAAGATTACTGTAGAGCACGCCCATGCCCCTTCCTGGGCATGAACTTTTTACTTCCTCCTAAACTCTAAGGGTTCCCATGAAACTTGGAGACAGTGGAGCATCAGGCAGCAGCAGCTCCACCGGGGCTTACCCCCGATCTTGTCTCCAAGGCCGCCTTTTTCTCAGACTCCCCAGTGAGCTACCTCCACTCACTTCTTTCTTTTAATGTTTCTAGGGAGCCAAAGCAGAGCACTGCCTAGGCTGTCTCCTGTTACTTCTACCCTGAGCCCTTCCTTCGTCTCGTTGTTCCCAGCCTTAAAAAACACACTCTCAAAATCACCTGGACTTGTGTTGTGAAGTCTTTCCTACACAAAGTCAGGAACTCACACACCTGCCCTGGCTGGTGTGGCTCAGTGGATTGAACACTGGCCTGTGAACCAAAGGGTCACTGGTTGGATTCCCAGGCAGGGCACATGCTTGGGTTGTGGGCCAGGTCCCTGGTGAGGGGCGCGAAAGAGGCAACCACACATTGATGTTTCTTTCCCTCTCTCTCCCTCGTTTCCCCTCTGTCTAAAAAAAAAAAAAAAAGAACCAACACACCACAGGCCAGTCTGAGGCAGACCCGCTCCTGTTTGGTCCCTGTCCAGTAACAACAGGTTTCAAGCCTGGAGAGTATACTCGGGAGTTTTACTCGGTAATTCCCAGAACATAGGTTATCTGCTCGCTTGCCCTGAACAGAGCCCAAGCACTCTTCTCTCTCTTGTGTTCCCACACGGCAGAGTCCTGGGAGCAGTTGGCTGCTATCTTGTTTCGTCTCCTCTCCTCCATCTGCCCAGACATCCCAGCCCTCGCCCGCAGCGTGAGGTTGTAAGGCAGCACTGTCGCGAGTCGCCCCGCCTACAGCTCTTCCGTAAGCCATACCTTACTATTTAAGATCTGGACAACCCTCTGCTGCAGTGTCTGGCCAGCCTTGGGCCTCATAAGGATGTAAATGACTTTCAGGTCAGGGCTGGTGCGAAAGAGCTTCTCCATCAACACTTTGCCCAGGAAGCCTGTGGCCCCAGTAATGAGAATGGACTTGCCACTATAGAAGGCTGCAATCATGGACATGATTCTCCCCTTCGTCTTTTAAGGCTCCAGGAAGAGGTTCCTGAAAAGGAAGAGAAGGAACAAAAGATTACATTCTTAGAAGTTCTAAGATGCAGTCATTTAAAATATTTTCGGTGCTTGCAGAATTTTGAGTGTGGAAGAAGATTAGACAGAATGATAACATGGTTTATTAGCAAGACCGTACATTGAATCAATATTTATTCAGCTCACTGCACATGCCTGACTTTATGCCGGGAGCTGTGGGCAAGAAATGAGTAAACCATGGCTCCTGCCCTCAAGGAATTTCTCGTCGTCTAATGCGAGAACCTGACATTTTAAGAGATTGTTACACATCACATCGCAAGTGGTAAAACAAAAGGGACCCAGTGGAGGGTGCAGAGCAGGATCTGGAAATCTCAGGAAGGTGGCAACTGAGGTGAACCTGGAGCACAGAGAAGGGCTGTGGTGAGGGTGTTCTGAGCCAAATAAGAGAGAGAGCAAAGGTCCAAGGTGTGACACAGCGTGCTGTATGGTCGAAATAGAGAGAATTCAGGATTATAACAATGTAAATGATAAGGCTAGGAGTGGCCTTATAACTTGTTACAGTTATAGAAAGCTTTGAAAGCTGAGAACAGCTATCAAATCTTTTATGATGTAATTAGTATTTCAGTTGAAGTTTTACTTAGAGACATTACTGGAGCAAACAACTTTTGGTTTCACTTGGGCTAACTGGCCCTGGCCTACCCAGTCATTTCTGAATTACTGTGGTGTTCTTTTCCTTGAGCTGAACATGGGTCGAGTGCCATCCTTTCCTTCACATGCTGCTCGTAGGTGTGAAACAGTGCAATCGAGGAAGGGCAGAGAAGGCTGAACAAGCGAGGCCTCAGACTGCTTTTTGAGCCCTGAGATAGCACTGGGTGCGGTCCGGTGCTAAGTCCACGGGAGGCGCTGTTTCCAGGAGCAGGAGGCAGGCGGTGGTGGGAGGCCAGCGTCCGCACTTAGTTGCTGTGACTCCCGATGAAAAGTCACCCATCCTGTAGGAATGTTTTGTCTTTAAGGCCCAGGTTACGGACTGGTGATTGGAAGCATTGGCTGCGGGCTTTGAAGGAAGGCAATGCTGGCTTTGTGGGAGCAGACTTCCGTTCTGTTCTCTGACTTTTCCCGCTACGGCAAGTCCTCCGCCATCCGCTCGATTGGGGTTTACGTGGATCTTGCATAACACAACTTTGGGGACTGACCCTGACATTAGAGTTTGTAAAGAAGAAATAAACAGCAAGGCCAAGAGTCAACACGCTGCCTCTTCAACTCCAGTCAAGGTCACTCTGCCAGTAACTCTTAAGAACAATGACTTTTCACAGTTACAGTTTGTAGTCATGATGCATATACTTTGAGGAACTTGAGGCTACTATGTTCTTGGGAATGGTAGTAAACAGGTTGCGAGCAGCTTAGATTCTTCCTTTCTGTGCTGGAGCATTTTTTTTTTCTCCTTAAGAGTGCCAGTTTTCCCATGGTTGTTAATAAAACTAGTTTTTACTCTCCTTTGGATAGTAAAATGAGGCTGTTCTCATTTCTAGAAAACAGATGTTAAAATACTGAATCATAATAGTCATGCCAAGTTATATATATTTTTTGCAGCATATGGGAATACAGCATATGGGAACTTGAATTATTCTTTGAGTGGTTCTTCTGGAAAATGAAAAATTCAGATTTAAACTTTTAAGGGAGACAAGTTTATTCAAATTTTTTCAGAACTCTTTGCTTTTAGAAGATTCGCTCACGCATGAATTTATGCCATACCTGCTTCAGGGTGGCAGAGGAGGCCAGGGTTACAAAGGCAAGCACATCAGCAAACAAGACAGTGCTGACTGTTACGAATGCAAATAAAACAGGAATCAGCCACGGCAATCACACCCAGTCATCAGTGCCGTTCACTTCAGGAAATCCGGATTTCAGATCACATTTGCAGATTCATGGAGCTACTACTTAAACCCCTTTTACTGAGGGTTGATGTGAGCAATATCACTCTGAAGAATACATTTGGATCTGGTTGAAAAGATCAATTAATGACATTTTTTCATGTTACATCATGTTACTCATGTGATAAGCTCTCCAACCACTTTCCCAAGAATTTAGCACTTGGAAAAAATATTAAATATTCTTGCCCTGTCTGCCTTGCAGCTCGGAAAACTGGTGTCCTGAGTTTAGGAGGCAGCACAACGTCCGAGGTGAGGGCACCGGTTCTACGAGAGCTGCCTGAAATCAAAACCCGGTCTGTCACCTACGAGCTGTGGGGTGTCAGACAAATGATTAATCTCTCTGCTGCAGTGAAATGGGGGTAACAAAAGTATTCACTTAATAGTGCTGTGGTAAGAACTGTAGTGTGAATACATGGAAAACTCTTAAAAAATGTAAGTTACCTATAGTATCTACTCAGTAAGTACTAGCTGTTAATATAGTCACTAGTTCTACATTTTCCTCTTAATGGTTCTGGCCTTTCCTTTTGACTGTTACTTTAAATGTTCTGTCTTACACATTTTATATGTCCTCCTTTAGAAATAGGGGACAATTTGTAACTCAATCACCAAGCCAAGTAAACTGTTTTCACCAAATACAACTCTACTTCCTGACAAATCCTGCCAATTCCTTTCTATACGAAAATGTTTAGGCACATGATCCTCCACTATGATATTAGGCGTAAGTGAGCATGGTTGGGTCTGAAAACTATGGAAAGGAACTGAGTTTGGACAGGGTGACTTCCTAACCTCATTCCTTCTGAAAATGTTAAATGCTTATATGCTTTAGTGAATCGTATTTTCTAGAAATGTGCATATACTGTTAAGATATTTTGGTTCCAGACAGAGTTCTGCAACACGGGATAAAGAATTTTAGAAAGCAGGTAACATCGCCAGCGAGCTTATTTCTTGAGGGACAGGGAAAGACTTGATATGTCCCCAAAGAATGGAATTTGCCCGCTCTGTCCACAGTCCAAACACTCCCCAGGCACAACAAAAACCATGGCAGGGCACACTGCGTGCTCTGAGAGGAAACCACGACATCAACCGGTGTCTCTTGGACTCATCACCCAACCGTCAGGCCCAGGTGGCCACAACTCGACTCAAGGCAAGTGATTCTGAAAAATATCAAAGAGATTTCCCCATCCTCAGGTCAAAACTGCATCGGGGATGTTTCCTCTATTTCTTGCTTCTCCTCTCAAGACATGGCTTGGCTGCTAGCCCCAGAGACTCCTGTACAAAACTTGGCTCTTGAAACCCATTCCAGGACTTATAGCTGTGCAAGGTCCAGGAATTGTTAACTTCTAACATAATTCATTAAAATAATTATTTTAAAATTAAAATAATTTTAGAGTCATTAACATAAACATATTCTTCTAGAAGGAGTAATATGTTTAGAACTGCTGACCAGGTCATGGCTTGATTTTTGTGTCTTCTCAGATTACCAGTGCAGAGAGCAGGGAGACAGCTTCCTATTCTTCAAGCTCGTGGTAGGGTTTGTGAGAAGCCTAAGTCACTTTGCCAAACACCAGAATCACCCAGTATGTCTGATGTTTGAATGAGAAAATAAGGAACCTGTGAGAGTCACCCAGTGTATTTTTATTGAATGTCAATTACGTGCCAGGTTTTCTGTAGAGCAGGGGTGTCAAACTCATTTTCACCGGGGGGCCACATCAGCCTCGAGGTTGCCTTCAAAGGGCCGAAGGTAATTTTAGGACTGTGTAAATGTAACTACTCCTTAACTAGGGGCAAGGAGCTCAGTGGAGGGCTGGGTTTGGCCTGAGGGCGTTGTGCTTGCCTCCCACACTCTAGACTCTGGGACTGGGAGAGAACAGGCAGCTTAGAGTCTTCCTTTCAGCTCTGGAACACATTTTTTTTCCCTAAGAGCACCAGTTTCCACATGGCCATTAATGAAAACAGTACTTTTTTACTCTCGTTTGGATAGTAAAATTTCAGAACAGATGTTAAAATACTGAATCATAATAGTTATGCCAAGTTATATATTTTTTGCAAGTTATAGCATATGGGAACTTGAATTATTCTCTGGGTGGTTCTTCTGGAAAATGAAAAATTAACTTTCAAACATTTAAGGGAGACAAGTTTATTCAAATTTCTTGGTAGTCCTTTAGAGAGAAACATTTTTTTTAAAAAGAAATGAGGTGCTCTGCCTCTGAGAAATCTAACTCTTGACCAAGATTCATTGGTCTTGGCACTCTAACCTTTTGGGACAGATACGTTTTTGCTGTGGGGCTGCTCAGTGCCACGGAGGGTGTTCAGCAGCACCCCGGCCTCCACTCACGGGATGGTGATAGCATCCCTCCTTTGTCCGGGCAGGTGGAACAGTCAAAAATGTCTCTAGACTTTGCTAAATGTGCTCTGGAGGAAAACGGTCCCTCTCTGTTCCCCCTGCCCCAAGAACCATTATTCTAGGACCTTCTTTTATGAATCTAAACCTATTATAGGCACATTTAAGAATGGATGGCAATCAGACCGGCATGAGATCAGCTGAGAAAAAAGTCATTTAGTAATGGTTGCTGTATATTAATAACTCTATGGATAATCAAGTTAACCTCCTCTATAAGTAATTCTGTTGCCTTTTTTTGAAGATATCAAATATGCTGTGTGTTAAGTGGTATCTCGTGTAAACAAATGAAAGTTTGGTTGGCAATGAGCCCAGGAAGACGGGCTAAGTCATTGAAAAAAATCAATACTGCTTTTAAAAAATCCAGTAAATAGGAGTTGTTCATCTTCATCAAAATTAAACACTGTAATTCTTTCAATAAGTATGCTGAATTAAGGAAATACACTTACAAAAATAACGTTTAATTTAAAAGATAAGAACGCAAACTTGCACAACATCATCATGCCGGTTACAAACCCCTGGGGAAAGGACCGGAGGGCAGTGAGATAAATGAGAGTGGCTGCAGAACAGTGTGAGGGGATTAAAGGTAAATTCTGTTTCGTGGCAGTAATTTCTTTTCATGAGTTTAAAAGGTAATTTAATGAAAACACACCCAAAAAAGAAGTTCTTAGAAAGTAATAGCAGCTG